AATAAATTATGTTATCAATTATTTTAATTTTACCCTTAACTTGAGAACTTGGGAGGAGGTCAAAGAATAATCTCATCAGTACTTTAAGAGAGATCGCTTTAGCTGACATTGATTGTATAGTTTGGAGGCAATAAATTAGTACTAAATTTACTTATAAATTTTAATCGATAAATATATCATAGGTGCCAGCTACTTTTTAATTATATAGCCTGAGTAGTCTTAATACTGAGCTGCCGCAAATAAGCGCCGCTGATGTACGAGTGTCGGAAAATTTCATTAGTATTTTGGCAAAAGCTGGCTAACATCAAACGAACATCGCATCCGTATGACACTTCGTAATATTCGTTCCCTTTGCTAACGTACGCTTAACAATGTTAGCGCTTATTAGATTTTACAGTCAAAAGTCTGTCATTAAAATTTTGTTACTTTTAACAATTCCCTTTTTCCAGTTTGCCCTTGATTTTAAAACCTAACTATTAACTAAGTTTTCAATCACTAACTTTATAAATGATAGATTTTTTAAACCACTTTAAACCGTTAATCACGTAATCAATATAATTTTATACCCGGATTAATGTTTGTATCTAAAATGTCTTAAACTTTACACTAAATTCCACTAACGTAATTAGTTAACGGCACTCTGATAACCTAAATGTGTCACCATAACATAAATATGTCTGTACCATTTTTTACACAATTAAGTATTTATTTCGTCAAAACCATTCGGTTTATGGATATTCATCCATCCCTAGAAAAATAAACATTACAATATAACATCAATCCCAGACGCAATAAGTGTACGCGTGGAGGAGAATTTCTAATAGCATTTTGCGAAAATTGACAAAGTTCGTGAAGAGGCAGGAGTAGATGAGGTAAGGCAATTGTCTCCGAAAACGTCTTCGTTTTACGAAATATGCTTATTCAATTTCATGCAACGCTTGCCGCCTCTTGCAATTTACGAGATATAAAAGAAATCGGAATCGCGATTTTTGCTTACTTTTATGGAACATTTTCTCAACGAGGAATTCAATTTAGTCCTCGTGATATTCCTTTTGTAATTTACGCTGTAAGTGTTGTGATGTATGAATTTACTATGTAGATACTTACCTACTTAAGTAGTTTCAACTATCATTCCTACTACAAGAATATTTAAAAATTAAACAATTTTGTTAGAGAGCACGTGATTTTTTAGCAAAAAATAACTGCTAATACCTCAAAGTACACATTTAATATAATTCTTTGATGTATATTCTAGAAAATCGTATAAGTTAGAAGTTCTTTGGTAATTCAAGAATAGAAGTATTTTTGAATTGATATCTGCAACCCCTTGAAATGATTAGAAGTAAACAAATAGAAGGAAGATCAGGAGGATTTGTCTTAAAAACATTCGTCAGTTAAAAAAACTCAATTATAATCCGATTTGTTTCGGCGGAGACTGGCTTCGGGGCATCACACTCGCAAGTGTCGCCGCCGAGGGTTGTGCCGAAACAGAAACCTATTATCCCGGGCGAGATTATACGCCTAGGGCGTCACAATTAAATATTATACACTTAAAAGCTTCGGCCTTTGCCGTTTCACTTCGCTGCCACCCCTAAATGTCCCATTAGGTTTGTTTGAATACGTAATATTTTTGCATTTGCCGCTCCTAAAACAGAATTGCCGGTTCCTTTGAGAGCTATAATCTATTTGTTCTTTGAAATAACTGTAATGGTTGAGCGCTTTGCTTAAATAAAAAGTTAGCCTTTTATGTTGTCTCCTCCTTTCTTTAAGAGCGAAAAATTACCAATTACTAAATCATGCACACAGTTATTTAATATTTAATCATGTACACAATTCTGTAAATAATTCTCTTTTATCTTAATTATAGAAAATAGACGAATACCTTTTGACGAACTACAAATAGTGCTGATGGAAAAATAGCCATTTCAAATTAAATGATCTAAAACTTCAAATTAAGTTATTTGATAAACAAAATGAAAAAGATGTATAAGAGATTGTCCCGAGTGACATTCCCAAAGTGACAATGCCCCGCACAAACAAAACTTGTGGAGGCATTCAGCAGATCACACCGTCGATTAGTTTCTAGAGAAACGAATCGATTTTATAATTAAATAGAGGAACCGAGCAAGAAATTACACTTTCGTTATTGATGCGCCTCCGGAGACAAATTGTTTCTCTTCGTCCACACAAAAAGCAAGCGCGATCCGATCGCGGGGCTTTTTATTTTACACATTTATAATGTCATTGATCCGATACGAATTGTTCTTTGTTCGTAAACTTATAACATTTTGAAAGGCAACACCTCCGGCGGTATAATTGAGGAGGCGGTCTCATTATTTTTTAAAAAGTATTACGCAACGGACACCTCTGTTAATTTTCAGCATCCAATTAATAACAGCCGGAAAAAATTCTGGCAAAAAATTCTTTAGACGGATATTTGAGATGGTTGAGAACAAAGGGGTCGTTAAGTAGGTGGCGGGCGTTATCGGTGATGAGGAGCGAATGCCTACGATCACACAAACAGTTGTAAATACAGAGCCAGGCGGAGGACCGGCCGCTGCCACCGACCGTGTCCGATCACATTGATTGAATTGATTTCCTATTACAGAATATCTCTTCAGATTTTTTTTAAAGATTCAATTTCTTCGTGACGACGATAAGGTTCATTTAAAATGCTTTACTCTTTTAGTCAAAACAACATTAAACAAGTTTTTGTATCGATACACAAAACTCATCCTTGTGCGAGACTGCGTATAAAAAACAAAGTTATTGCTTGCGTTTCTTTAATTACATTTTTAGGTGTCGATAGTACGTGAGCAATGGAGGTGTAAGCACGCGAGGAATGTGGGTCGGCAGCGAGTGCAGAGAGCAATAGCTCGGTACTCGCCGCAGCTATGTCTTCGGCATCAACAAAAAGTTAATATCGTCAAACGCTTCGCGCACCTGCGGTACAATTTTTATTTCCATTCATTTTACAAGCGCACCTAAAAAGTGGCCGGCCGAAGTTTCCTCTTTATTAATTTTTCAACTTTATATTACTTAACATCGGTTGGTTTATTCGTTTCAACCGCGGGGCCGGAATACATTTTGACATCCGCCCGCTTCTGTCATTAAAAAGATATATTCATTTTTTCAAATAAGATTTTTAGACTTTTAATAATTTTTTTGTCATAAATGTATTAGTTATCATGTTTATTTGATAAACTTGTAATAATCAAGATAAGTACTGGAAGTTTACTCTAGTTCAAATTCAACATACCCAATGACAAAAGAGGTTGAAATTATTTTTGTACTTACTTCATAAAAAATAAATTACAGCTACCATCGACAACCATCATTCGGTTTTATTTCCTTTTAACAGGTTGTTTGTCAAGAAAATACATTGTGATTGGATTTATTGATTTTTATTTTAATTTTTTCGCTGCTCTACATTTGAATCTATTGTAAAAAGTTAGAAAATAACAATAGTATAACTAATCTGTACGCATTTTGCTTTTATGCTATTACAAGCTATTTATCTTCTTTGATAACTTATTTTAACATTTCCACTAACTGTATACTTTTTTAATAAAGCTATAGAAATAATGTAGAGACTGTTATGTCTTGTGATGTGACTTTTTGAGATGTAATAACAAAAAACCTATTAAAATCTATGGAATAAAATACTAGTTATAAAGTTTTTTTTTAATGTATCTGATTGCATTGATTTGTAGAGTTCGAAGTAGGGTAGTGGCGTGCTCGCGTGTGGTAGACACTTGGGGCCGGGTAACACTTAAATTAGTTGCAATTTCTGTTTGCGAAGTGCTCCACCGGTGAAAGCCACTCGTCAGTTAAATGCAGGAAACGTTGGGGGCTATCAATGCTGACGTACCTGTGGCTTTTATTGTTACTATTTAAGGCAATTCCAAATATGCCTAGAGCAATATTTCGTAAAAGATTTTAGGATGTGAGGAGAAAAGATACGAAATACGTATCAAATTAAAATCTAATAATGTCAAACTATTTGAAAGACTTTTTAGTGGCTTAAATTAAAAGTCTGTGAATGAGTTATGCAACATTTCGCATCCATCAAACCGGACGTATTCGGGTTAGCCGGTACACAATACTATTTCAAACTCCGGAGGCCGGTGCATTTTTAATGAAATTTCTAGGCTTTCCACAAAGCGGATATGAATGAAAAAACTACGTCCGATACCGATCACGTGGCTGAGATGAATCTTTTTTATATCGTCGCTCGGAGCGCGGAACTCGCAGCTCATAGTGCACCGCATGGCAGGTATTTTTTACTGTTGCTTTAAGGTTTTAATAATGCAGGCTTACTAGTATCCTATTATAATCATTTTCGGTTACAAAATGTTAAAAATAGTTATAATCATCCATAGTTTGTTGATTGTTAAGTAAATTTAAAATAAAATATTGTCTCATATTAATCTACAATATCAATACCAAAATTCGATTTAAAACTCCCCCCGCCCCAAAATAAAATAACAACAAAACCGGAGAATGCTCGTATCGTTCATTTTATGCTTTTAAATACTTGGCATTCCCGATTCGATATGGTATGTAATATGACGAGTATAAATTTCACATGTCTATTTTGTCCTTATTTTTTCTAACGGAGGGTCTGATACATTCTTTATTATTGCAATTTTATTTGATGTTGTGCTTTCAATAAATGCACATCATGAATCATGATTAAAAGTTTGCTTAGGAGTAAAATTGCAAAGGTTCTACAGTAATCGAACCTAGATAGCTTTTAAAATTTTTTATATCGTGTGTCAGAGGGACTTAAAAATAAATTTAGAGATAGAAAATAGCTTCTTGTTATTTTTCACAGAAGCATCATTGAGTACTCTATCCAGCAGAGGGTAGTTACGTCTTTCCAAAAGTCCAGCACAAACTCTTCTTTTGTTGGAGATATTAACTAACTCTTGTCTCTTATCTAATGAAGAAAGTTTGTTACAGGTGTGATGAGTTGTGCCTTACCAGAATAGTTCTGCCAGAAGGCAGCGCCGCCGGGGAGCATGTCGACGGGTGGCGGCGGGTAGGACCACTGTGGTTTGTCGGGTGTGTGCGCCGGTTCACGCGAATACGGCGGCGAGGCAGTCGGGGGCTCCGCGCTCGGCGGCTTGCTCTCCGACCCGTTCTCCCGTTCTGAACGCGTCTCGTGCGCCGATGGACTCATGTTCTCTGTAAGCAAGATTGTATGTTAGAACTTGAGCAACTCAACCTTCTGTTAAATTATTTTTAAATGATCATTATTATCAGCATTATCATATCAGAAGCTCTCTACCCTTTTCCCTATGAAGGCAGGTCCGTAGTATTTTTTCATGTAATACTTAAAAAGAAGTCAGTATTAAAATGATTGTAAACAAAGAATGCGTATTTCAGTGTTAAAAGGTTTAGAAATATGACCAGTTTTAATTATGATTTCAAAGGTAAATTCATACATATAGAAACGATACAAGTCTATTTGTTTCCAGAAGCGACGTATAGACAGCGATTACGTAAGACATTGTGCTCGGATGCGTGCTAACTCAGAGGCCGAGCAGTCGAACCCTCGCTTCAAATGGCCTGCGAAACGATTTCCTGACACGGAGATTAGTACAAGCCTTCACTAGCGTTTACCGCCCTTCTTACGTCACGCACTTCACCTACGATGCGATTCCCTCGAAACACATGTCAATTACATGACGAAACGAAATGAACTGACTCGACTACATCTTACAGTCCAAATTACATTGATAGAAACATTGTGACATAGGTCTTTTTGGAAGGACGTAGCCGGAGTTTTAGCCGATACACAGATAGTTTGACAGTCGGTAAGTTAACATGTCAGCGGCACTTGTGAGTACTTTGTTGATACTTGTTGAAGTCTGATAGTGATTACATCGATTATTTGATCACAGAACACCGGAAAATATAAATGGGCAGCGTTAGTAATGAAAACACAATTGAATTGTAAACAAATGTTAAATAGAAGATATAAAATTACAGAGTTTAGATTAGAATCTCGACATCTTAAAGTATCTTTTAAAAAACCCTATGTAGAATTATGTACTGCTGCTATTAGTCTCAAAATTCGATATTCACAGAGCTAGCAGCAACAATAGTGAACAACCATATTACTTTTTGTTGACACTCACCAGTAACAATTCTGAGTATCTCTTGGGGTGCACCGGACTGCTTGAGCGCCTCCTCTATCTTCTGTCGTCTCTTCAGTTCGTTCTCCAGTTGCTCCTGGATCTGTTGCCGCTGTTTCCGCTCCTTCTTTAGCCGCTTCTGATACATTACTGTAAACAAAATATTTACGGTTATTTCTTCTTAACGTGATTTTAATTTTGATTTTGAATTTTTTAGAAGTATGTACATGTTTTTTTATTTACGTTAAATTGATATTTTCTTTATGCCATATTAAAGTGTCATGAATCAAGGTTAATAGTGGAAACAATAATGCTTTTAATGTAATAAGTATAATCTTTTATGTAAATAACTGTTGCATAAATGAAACTGATCGTTGTTATTTATTAGTAGTTATTTACTTTACTATCCTCTTATCTTAGATAATTTAGAGATCGTGTTACGATATATTTGCTTGATTCTATCTCCAATTACCCAATGTATCTTTCAGGTTTATACAACTACATGTATTTCAGTATACAATATATCATAAATATTAATAGAAGCGGTAGAGTTCAGTTCGAGCCCGCTGACTCGTGGCGTATCGAAACAACAATTACTGCGAATACCGGCACGCATAGCAAAACAAAACTCTGACTAAATAAATGGTTTCGCTCATAATTCGTGCGCCATGTTCCTGCAAGCAATTTATGAATGTTTATACTCTCCTACACTCGCGAGAAAGCTCGAGGAGCGAACATCTCACTCGCTCTTAGGACAACGTAGCCTTTTCTGTATCTGTTATACACTTGTAATGCCTTTGATTCACATTTGCCGTCTTTTGGTAATATTGTGTCGATGATCGGCCGGTATTGTCGTTTCTTTCACACTTATGTGGCAGTGATATTTCCATCTTTATCGTGTGCGAGTTGGATTGACGAATGATTGAGTCGGTGTGCAAGTGTCGATATTCGCCCTGCCTCCGGTGAGGGGCGGCGCGGAGCTGCCGAGATATCGATACAGCCTTTTATCTACGCAAGATCTTTAATCTCTATAACCGATAAGAAATTTGATTAAAGCTAAAACTTATAACCGTATTATAATTTGAAACGTTTCGGATTGAAGTTTATATTTATGTTACGTATCATATTGTTTTAATTCATTGATACTTCTTCATTCATTCTTTACGCTTTCAACACATTTCTATCATTCGACCTAGTAATGCTATAATTAGATTATTTTCAAAGTGAATGGCGTTAACTTGTAAACAATAAGACAAATTAAGATATTCTCATTAAAATATTGCTAGTTAATTAATGTGGGCGCTAATGAGAATCGCAGCCAGGCTGTAGCTGTAAGGGGTGCGGGGTGCGGGTTGCGGGGCGGTGGGGGGCGCGACTCCCACGCATCATTTGTCATCTCAGCCTCCGACTGCCGCCAGTAATAACGTGAACAACCATAAATAGCCTTTTTATTTGAAATCCTAACTATGTCTAGACACAAATTGCTTTTTCACATCGCGTAATTAAGTTGAAATCTCATAAATGCCGTATTTTGTGTTAGACACAATATCTGAGAATCTCAAAGGAATATAAAAACATTATTTATTCTTAAAAAATTATCAGGGTCTGATACCTGAACTAACAACATGTAGCGAAATTATTATTGGTATCACTGCCTTCATACTTTTATCTATTAATTTAGTAAGTTGAGTTAAGAGTTTTGTCAAATTAAATATCTAAATATAACAGAAATTACATGTTGATTAATTAGGATGGAAAAGGTCATTTTCAGGTAATCAGTCGTTAAAACAGCGGCGTGGAGTAAAGGCTCATCCGGTGGAAAATTCACCGGGCCGAGTCGAGGCGAGTCCGAACATCGAATCAGTCCAACACCTCTGAAAATCACCTTTTCACTCCATCGGAGCTTATTTTTGGACCTTTCATCTCTTTATATGTATTAACGCTTTTGTGGTTATCAATTAACCGGAACCTGCCCGGACTGGAGCTCATTGAACTAAAATTTTAATGAATTTAGAAAGAGTCAGGATGGATGGGTTCGGTCTTTGTTTAAATTCGCAGACCGTATACTTCAAATCCTGAGAGCAGCAAACTTATTAGTCTAATATTATTATTGCTTAAAATGTTTATTTACTTTGAGAATAACAAAGAATATACAAATACAAATTTAGATTTACAATGTAATATTAAATGTTAGTAAACTTTGTTAAAATAAGAATTATTTGATTAAAATATGTTCAGAATAAGCAGTTAAACGTTTTAATTTTCATAAAAAATAAGGAGATTCGAAAATGTTCAATAAAAATTTGACTTCGGCAATCATCGTCTTATCAGGTGTATTCATACAATAGGTGGGGAGTAGCGCGGCGTTCTCTATTGTTTCTCCAAGTCAATATTTGTGGAGGCCAGTCGGCGTGGCTTTGTGCTCGCGGCCTGTAATCCGAAGTAATGCTCCCACAGTCATGCTTCCAGTCGAAGATGAATCGTAATAATCCATCGATTTTATTTCATCAAAGGGAGGCGCTTTTCGACAAAGACTCGAACCCTTTGTGTCCGGCAATACTTCTAATTTCAAAGCACTTGATCGCCTTTTTGAATATTGTTAATCGTTTCATTGTTCCTTTGCGGCTTTTGTTTAATTAGGCACGTCAATAAATTATTTTTTTTCTTAGGAATGAGTTGTACATATATTACAAAATCTGTACAATACTCATAAATATTTTACACTAACACTTGTCGTTTGCATGTTTCTGTTTTATTTCTCAAACTTTAATCATAATCGTATGAAATCTACATGACGATTATTTATAATGTTGTAAACATTATGGTACATGTAATTTTCCCACAAATAACAATTAATAAAAACAATGAACAAATTTTATCAGCAATTAAAAGTAAAAAGTCGTATGTAACAATAGAAACAAAATGTGAATACACGCATGTGTAGTCAAAAGGCAAAGCAATGATGACAGAAATGCAACAGAACTCAAAGCGCGCGATATGAAGCGAAACAATTCGATGACCGAGCGTATGAATAAAAACGAACCACCGAAATATTGAAGGA